AACAACTATACTCTAGTTCAAAAGTATGACTACAATTATAAAGTGAAAGCATGACTTTGTAAGAACTCATATTTCTATTCATACCCAAAGGTCTCTGCTTCCATGGAGCCAAGCTCTCCAAGGTAGCTTTGCCTTGCTCTAAACTACTAAAAGAATGTAAAGCTTACAACTAGAGAGTGAGGTGTGAGAGGTGTTGCTCAATGTGAGTGTGTTGTAGATGGGGGGTACCCCTCTATACAAGGAGCAAGGGCGGTACTTTGGCTATTCTTGGCATGAAACGCTAGGCTGCACCGCCTCAGCATGGAGGCATGCCACCGCCTATCGAAGGGGTGGCTGAGCAGCGCCGGCAGGGTGTCGGCCGCCCCTAGGGGTCAGCCGCCCCTTAACCATGCCACCTCACCACCACATTCGCGTGGCAGGCTTTGGGCTAGACCTGGATTGCATCCCTATGGTGCTTTGCCTGATTTGAGTCAAGTTCATGGGCGTCTCCCTTGTTCCTTTGCGCAAATCAGCGCCGAAAAGCACCTTTCGTTGAAATCTTCCATGTATTTGTGTTTGTGACCTGCAAAATAATGTTCTCCAAATACATGTAGAACTTGGTTAATAGTAAATGCATATGTGTTTAAGATTGCCAATTTCTCCTCTTTTGTGTCTTAATTGGCGGCCAGATTTGATCGATAAAGATTGCCAATAGGCACCCGAAGATGCTCACTCGTACTTACAGTACACAGAACTTACAGGGGAGACCGCGATGCCCCGAGGACTAAAAGTTGTGTGGTAGTTTATCATTAAGTCCTATGGGGGCTACTGTTAGAGATATGGGCCAGGGGTACTTGCACCGCCCGTATATATGACCATTGCCCAGCCATTGGCCTAGCTGCCATCAAAGAGGAGGCCTATGAGGATTGATGTGATCAACCAACATGGAGGTCAAGGCAAATCAAGACAGGCGTATCTAGACGATAGCTTGGATCAATCTATCGCGCACATCATCATGTAACAAACTAGGAACATGATCATCATTAGCCCGATCGCCCTCTCTCAGAACTCTACCCTCCCGCCTATATATAAAGGAGGGTAGGGACCTCGCCTCGAGGATCCATCTTCCACCTATTCCAATCTACTACGTAGCTAGGAGCAACAGCCCTTGTAATTGAGCATACGAATACAAGAGCAATAGCACCATTGAAGTAGGGATTAGCGCATACCGCCGCCCAACCAAGATAAATCATCTCAGATCTCGTGTGCTACCATTTGATTCCGCTTCTGCGATCAAGTTGCTAGATATTGCCAGAGCAAAACAATCTGACAAAGAGGAACTACTTGCTCTAGCTCTAATTCACCCAAAGCAAGCCCCTACACAAGTCTAGTAGCTTGGTCTCTAAACTATGTCACTCAAACAAAGAAGCTACTCCTTCGTTTCCAAATGATAAAATCGCTTTGACTTTTTTTGGTACATCAAAATTTTCATGTATGTAGATATACATTATTTCTAGATACATAGTAAATTTGATGTAACAAAAAAGTCAAACAGACTTATAATTTGGAATAGAGGGAGTACCAACTAACAAACTAGCTCTAACTAGCAAGATTTACTAACAAACAAGTCTTTCTAGTTAGAGCAAGTTTGCTAGATGGTTGCCAACTAACTAGCAAGACTTGTTTGTTAGTCTAGCAAAACTATGTTAGTAATGAGCAGGAAACAGTTGGTCACCTATTTTTTGAATGATGTGTGGCATGTTGTGTTTAGAAAGAGATTTCTAAAATGATGGAAATTGATTTTAGTCAGCACTTTTAATCTGTGGTGCGCTTATGGATTAGTAATAAGAAATATGATACAACGGTGCTTATGGAACTATCAAAATCCTATGTGTTTTCAGGGAAAGAAGGCTTATCATCGGCAGGTAATGAAGATGAACTGCTGACAGCTTCTCCTCTAGGAGCTTCTAAGTGGGACAAATTGTGATTTCTATCTTATGTATGCAGAGAAGAGGTAGCTTTACATCTAGAACTTGTAGTGCATGAGCCTGTAGGGGCTGCCATAGATAGTAAGAGCCTCTTTTTAGTGCTTTGTAATTTTGTTTATATGTACCCACTATTTAACTATGAGTTGCTAATTTTGTCTCTCACTAACAGAATTATAACAAGGCCATATTGCTAGCGCAAAGGTAAATATCTCTTTCCAATGTTTTATCTCCTTTTGAATCTTACCATACTCAGTAGACTGAATCCCAATTCACCTTTTTTAATAGTGGGCCAAATTACTTGGAAGCTCTCTCATGATGAAACGGCCAAAGCATGGTGATTGGTAATGGCCTTCTCAGTTTGCTTTGGTACTTCTCAAAAGCATGTTTAGCTAGTCCCCTAAAAAAGCATGTTTAGTTAGCATATGCCACATTCTTATGTAAATTTATTTATTTGCTCAGAATTTATGTTTTGGCATTCCATTGGTCGAGAAATTGTTATGTCAATATACTTTTATTCTCTTTCTTGTTTGCCAGCATCTCATAAGTCTGAACCATTTTAAAATTACGATTATAATAAATTGACTTATGTCTTTGCACCAGCTCAGAAGTATACAATAGATTGATTATTGACCTGGACATAATAGCACAATATTTTGATTGAAGAAAGTAGTACTATTTTGTCGGAACATACTTATTCTTTAATCAATGGTTGTCACTTTAATTCGGCCAATGCTTGCTTACAACAGCAATAGGTGTTACCCTATCTTCGGTAGAGTATATATCACAGTGTTATAAGATTTGCTAATTTTTTGTGCAATGTTTTAGTGACTGTTACCATATTTTTTTGGCCTGCTTGTATTTCTAATTTATGATTAGTGATTACATGCTCACTACAATTATACCCTGGATCATTAGCATTCATTATGTTGGCAAAATTAGCTACCCAGCTTATGTTACCACTGATTTTGGACTAGCTTGCATAAAAGCTAATTTTCTAGACAGCTTGTAAGATGTTTCTTTCCAAGTTTGGATAAGATTAAATTTTGTTTAGTGATGGTCTTGCTCTTGAGTTGTGAAGCAGGTACACAAAGATGCCGTAAAGACCTGATGTCGCCGTCAAACGGGTCCTCTGTCAGCTGCCGTTGAGGGTTATATAGGAGTATAAATTGATGTCAACTGCACGTCAATCAAAGATTCTACGAGTCTTTCTGTTTTGGACCAAGTTCAGGACAAACTCTTTTGAAGTTCATTATGGTTGCATGTAAAATTGATCTCTGAGATTGTACAATGACCCTTTATAGTGCTGCATGATGTAAGAGAGTTTTCAAAGATGTCTGATGACATTCATGGTTTAATTTTCTTTTATTGTACAACAATCTTAGTGTGTTGCACACAAAAAGATTTTACTTAATTTTGTTCTTTATGAAACGAGAAAAGTATTGTTATAAATTTGGCTAAATACTTTAGTATAGATAAATTTGGCCAAATAGTTAATAATAGGGTGCCGGAAGGGCGCCTAATGTTCTAGTATACATAGTTTCGCAAGCGACTCCTCCAAGATACAACAAGCAATCTCCAAGTCAATGAACTCCTGTAAAAAAGGATCTTCCAATTTCTCGGTGTAGGAATTGCCGTTGAGCAAATAATTCAGCTTATTACATCACCTGCGCGCTCCTTCTCCGGTTTGTTTTCAACAGGCGATGGACCAATTTAACAATTCAGCTAATACTAATCCAGAAAATCGGGACCATATGGAAGACAATATTAACATTGACATGGATAAACACAATGTGAGTGATCATACGCACATATTTAATTCAAATGAAACAGAACCTACAAATTATTTCATATAAATATTGCTTTTGCATTGAGTTAACTGTTTATTAGTAATATTTTGTATATATGTGTATATACTACCAATGGGTAGTACTAGTAGTATTATTTTGTTCATATAAAAAAGGTCCAAAATTTTAGCTTCGTTCCAAGTCCAAAAATACTCAGGACCGGGACATGGTGAACCCCTTCTCCCCTAGCTAGGTAGCCAATCTCCAAAAGAGGGTTTGGTTTGGGCACCCATATCCATTTAGAGTTTTGTTGGCTCGAGGAACGGACGTGTCTCTTTAGCCCAATATTGTGTGACTTATGGGTAACTCCTCACTCCCCAACATACATATAGTTTCGCAAGGGACTCCTCCAAGATACAAGAAGCAATCTCCAAGTCAATGAACTCCTCCTGTAATAAAGAAGGACCTTCCAACTTCTCAGTGTACGAATTGCCGTTGAGCAAATAATTCAGCTTATTACATCAGCTATGTGCTCCTCCTCCGGTTTGTTTTCAACAGGCGGTGGACCAATTTAACATGTGCTTCCGAGCCTCGGCACGTGCCAACGAATAAATTGTCCGGCCGGTAACATGTTTGTTCGGATTCTCACGTAGCTCTGCCTCTCATAGCTTTGCTGGACAATACTTGCAGCAAGTGGGAAGGGAACATATACGCAAGTCCATCAATCAGAATCGAACAAGTCTCTTTAATTTCCGTGGTCCAGTAGTCGCAAATGAATCGGCACATCGCGTGCCATCCAGCCATCTTCCAGCTGAGCGTATTGAACAAAACCTTTCAATCGCGCGAGATGAGGCATCCGAGGGTGAAGTAATGTTCTCACAGTCAGTCCTCAGTCCTCACACGTGGTTGGAACATGGTGCATCTTGTTCAACCATGTTCATCACAATATCTTCTGCCTTTTGCACATCCGAGCGAGTAGACATGGATCGATATGGACATCGCCAGAATAAAACAAGCAGGAGCCAACAACAGAGTCGCTTTCAAGTTAATATCGTACATTCTGCTGACATTCTGACGCGACGCGACATACAAATCCGGTAGACAATGAAGGAGAGACGGACAAGCAAGCAAGCTAGTGGCAGTCGTTGCGATTAACAATGCATTAACTAGTTTGACGAGGTGATAATAATCAATATTCAATACAGAAATGCATCTGGCGGCTGTTGAGATTCCTCCGCAGATGGAGTTGTCAAGCAGCGACGACGACGACGCCGTCTCCTCCGGCACTGGCGCTGGCGGCGGCATGGGCTTCCTCCATCCGCGCGGCGATGGCCTTGACGCCGCCGTCGAGGTAGCCGAGGAGCCCGTCCCAGGTCCACCCCTGCACGGGGTCGCACTCGAACGCCCACACCAGCCTGCACCCCGGTTCCTTTGCCTCCTCCTCCTCCTGGTCACCGACGATGATGCTCATAGTGGCGACGTAGCTGCCGAGCCCCATGCTGCTGCCGACGACAGAGTACGCGAGCCGGCGGGCGTCGTCGTCGATCTCCAGCAACTTCTCCCGCGCCCAGATGCCGACTTCCCCGGTGGTAGTGCCCGGCGCGAGCGAGGCCACGTAGCGGACGCACCCGTGCCGGCCGTCTCCCCCTCCGCGAGCTCGCACACGTCGATGCTCGGGAGGTACCGGTGCAGCGCGCAGAAGCTGGCGATGTGCGGCCACGCCGCTGAGGCTGGCGTCGACGGCAGAGTGGCCTCCACCACGCCCTGCCACTGCACCTGCGCCTGCGCCGCCGCCTCCTTCTCCATCTCTCGCGCGCCTGAGCTAGCTCCTGCGCTCGCTTGATGTGCGATAAGTAGATGTGTTCGTGGTGGGTTGCGTCGATGAGTAAGTATATGGTGGTGCGGGTGTGGTGGGTGGGTCTTCTGTTGGGGTTGGAGAAGCAGTGGTAATCTGTTGGGGATGAGCATGAGAGAGGGACGTGTCGCGTGTGTGACTTGGGCTTGCAGTTTGGACGGTTTGTCCTCTTCTCCGTGGTTGGTGTAGATATTAGTACTCCTACTACGCGTCTGTGCAGTAACAGCCAATTCGCTGGGTCGTAAACAGTATTTATCTCTTACGTCAAATCAGTCAGCAGTAATAATCCATGATTGTTTCAGCCGAAACGAATAGGCTGTAAAGGTCTGGCTATGTGGTCTGTGCCCGGCTCCTGTCATTTACGAGTATTCTATTTTTTTTTGAAACGTCATGCAAAACTTAGGAATAGAGCACAATTTTTTCAGTGGTCAGATAATGGTGTGGTGACCTCCATCTCTGACTTCCATTCTCTATCATCCCGGTGGCCGGTACCAAGTACCAAGTCACTCCACACGCAACAACGAAGCTTCTGAGATATTCTCACAATCTCACGTTGACATTATTGAACATGTATGACAATTACGGAGTACCAGGTACTGTACAATATGTGAGATAATTTCTGTCTCGCGTAGGGCTCCCATCACTGCTTTCTTCTTGGTGGTGATTGTTGCCATGAACTGTGAAAAGAGAAAACATCGTCGTGGTCTGAAATGTGCGGGGCCTCCGTGTTCATGCACGTCGCAAGGTGGTCCGTGAGGTCGCCTCCCATGAGAATGCATGTGCCCTTGCTTTGCTTGGAAGAGACTAAGATAAGCGTTTGGTTTTGGGTAAATGTAACACTACTTGATTACAGATTTTAATAGATGTCGTTGCTTCTTGTTTGTTTCAGCCCACGTGTAATCGAGTCACAACGTTACCCAATTCCATTTCTGTGATCGTTCGGGCGATTCCAACGTAGTGAACACTTTTCATATGTGCGACTGATAACGTTAGGCACTAATCACATGGTGGGCCCTACTAGGCAAGTCGACGGAGCAACTGACATCTTCTCTCACTACTTAAAAAAAAAGCATTTGTAGGGGCGTTGGCGATGATTTGTAGAGGCAGCTCAGCCAGCCGCCTCTATCATATCGTCTCTACAAATTATGTATTTGTATGGGCGATTTCCAGACCGCTCTTACAAATCGATTTGTAGAGACGGCTGGTGTTATCAGCCGCCCCTACAAATCGATTTGTAGGCACGGCTGGTACCCTACAAAATCGATTTGTAGGGGCGGCTACAGTACCAGCCGCCCCTATAATACCTATTTGTAGGGGCGGCTATAATACCAACCGCCCCTACAGTATATTTTTTCGCCAAAAAAATTTAAATTACCAACACGTGCTCTCTCAAATCATCGTGTGATGAGTAAAATACATGATCAAGTATACTGGCAAACTTGACTGTAATATTATAGCCCAAACAAGATTGTTTAGCCAAAAGTTTCTAAACATCTTATATAGTACAAGAATCACAAAAATAACAAACAGACTCATATTATGACAACAAAACATATATCTATATCACAAAAAGACAAGCAAGCACTCAAGTGCTAACAAAACAAAAAATAGAGGTAGTATGTGTAGTACAAGTAGATATGTCTAACATGTAATAAATTGGCAAAGAGGGTCAGAAGTTTCTTCTCATTTCATCAAGAACTAATAATTCAAACATTGAAATAAGCCCAGAGATGCAGCAAGTGCAGGTCGGCTTTGAAGGATATCGCACGGCTGAGCTCCGCTATTGCATCGTTCTCCTTGTGGCTATCCATCAGCACTGTGCAAATCAAAACCAAAACAATGTTTTAACCAGATTTATATGCTGTGCAGAGCAATACATGAAAGACATGAAAAAGATGTATCATTGTCTAACACGTTATTCATCTTAGCACTTTCACAAAGACATGAGTACATGACATGAATAAGGAGGAGTACTTTCACAGGTACGAGAGTTTTCACAAAGATGAGGTTGTTACGCCTGTGCATATTTTTATCCTAGCACATGGTGGCTCTAAGTTTAGCATAGTCTACTTGATTCTCGGCTGCTGCACTAGTCAAAGTGGTGCAGGGTTCAAAACTTGTGACCAATTTATGTTAAGAAGAGGAATTCTGCAAAGTGATACAATCCAGGAAAAAGGACAAGTGTTTGCAGCGATAGTCCAATGAACTTCATGTTGAACAATAAAGAGAAGGTAATCACCACCGGGGCAAACAGAGTAAAAAATGAGTAATTAAGTGCATTGTGCTTAAAACAAAGTGACTGTGCCCCTCATACTTTCACCTGTACCCCTGTGCAGCTCAGCCCATAGTCCCATGGTCCAAGCAACCCAGAGAAACTAGTGACTGTGCTTCATTTACAAAGTTGAATCAAATTCACAATTTGACTGCAACCTTTCCTTCTATATAGAGTTATAGACCAACTACTGTCAATTATGTATGTTCTTTTGCAGAAAATATATACAGTGCCATTACACAAACAACTCTAAAGGGAGTGGAAGAGTTCTCAATGTTTTGCAGTAGCATGGCAACACAACTCTGAAACTCAAAATAGTTATGCCAACACATGTAGATCTACCAAAAAAAAGTATTGTAGGAAAAATAGTACTCACTGTTATTGCGTTCTCAACCAAGTGGAAGACAGGGCCTTGCATACCAACAAGTTCATCAAAAGGAACGTCCTCTGCACCATCTGCGTCATCTAGACCATCAAGCATCTGCTCAACCTGAGCCTCAAGTCGTTCTAATCGAGCAGCAACATTTTCAGCATTCCTCCTCAGAAGTTCACCGGGACCAATTCCTTGGGCTTCTGCTAATTCATCAATATTTCCATCTGCAGGAACCCTATTATTAGGACCAGCTAGCCTCCTGACAGCCCGAGCACCATGCCTTTCACGGCCTCCATCATCCCTCTCAGCATCATGTCCACCAAGTTCACGCAAATGCCTTATGTAGTCCCGTAATGAGGTGGCTCCGAGAAATACAAGGACAATGATAGCTGAGAGAAGGAACCCATGAAGGCAATCACTAAGGATCAACTGAGCACTGATGTGACTGAGGAACAGCCTTTGTGCTTCACCAAGACTTCTCACAAATGTTAACCGGCATATCCAATAGGTAATGAACGGGATAATCATGAGCCAAACTGAGAGAACAAAGGCAAGCCGAAGGATGAATTGAAACACATGGCATGCTTTCATTCCAACACCAACTATCAGTTCGTGGAAAGGAAGTCTTGTCGGAGCATTCTCAGCGTACACGGGTGAGAAGGAGAATGCGTGTTTACAGACCTGCAGTGCACATATGCATACATCAGAAATTATCTAGAGAAAATGGGGTGAAGCTGAAGACAAACAAGACACACACATCATCATCGTCATGAGTATTTTCCTTTGCAATACAAGACATTACTACCCAGCCGTAGAGTTGTGCTTGGAACCACCAACTAAAACTTGTTCAATCAATTGCCCTAGACTAACAAAATGAATTATTCAAGAGGAGGTTCGTTCTAATTATTCCAATCCTAGAATTCCTCCAATTTTTTCATTTGTTCCGAAGGTGGCCTAAGAGAAGATAAGGCAACCGAAACTGCAAATCACATGTCAATACCAAGTCAATAGTCTCACTGCTAAGAAGCACAAGCAGACGCTGCAGGTTAACAGAATTATTTTTTTGATGAAACTGGAGGGGGTTAACAGAATTATTATGCCTCTGAAAATACTCTGAACCCACAACAGCAGCGGAGCATTATGAAAATACCTTTGCTAGCTGAATAATCATCAAAACTATCCAATTGTCCTGATTCTCAACCCTAATCCCCTAATTCTAGCAACTGAAAAGGCATAAATAATAGCCCTATCCATTATGAACACCTATTAACATAGTTTTGACCCAATCTACAAGTCATAACAAAGAAACAACACCCATAACACCAGCTCAACGTTCAATCGATCGATTCCACCACGCAATCGAACTAATCAATCCCTAAAGCAACGACCCAGCGGCGTCCCCATCCTCGGGGTGAGGGCAGGGGCGGGGCCGGTTTTATTACCTCGCACTGGCGCGAGTTGCTATGGTCGAGCCACTGGAGGAGGCAGTCCTGGTGCACGAACTTGATGCTGCCACTGCAGGCGCACGGGTAGCGCAGCGGGTGGTCCTCATCGCCGCGGTTGCGGCAGATCCGGCACACGTCCCCCTCGTCCTCCTCCTCCTCCTCACCATGCGGTGGACGCGGCTCCTCCGGCAGCTCGCCCGCGACGGCCCGCTCGGCGATCTCCGCCATGGCTGCTGCTTCCCTGGGTGGTCGGTGCCTCAGCCTTAGCTGTCCTGCACTGCGCAAAGGGGAAGATGGAGGGAGAGAGGATCTGGGTGAGGAACCATGAGACGGAGGACGGATCTGGGTGACGAGCCATGAGACAGAGAATAAGAGGGTGAGGTACCTCCAGATCTGGCCGCCAAGCCGATCCACCGAGGAAGAGGCCACACGCGCGCAGACAGAGGTGTCGAACACAGGCACCTAGGGTTTCGATGTTTCGTCGATCCCTGGAGCGCACGCTGACCGGTGGGAGGAAGCCGTGTCATGGTGGCAGCCGCGACAACGGCCACCTATGGGGCTCATTGGCGCCAGTGGCGCCCGTCCGCCCCCCCCAAGCCTGCTTGTCGGCCGGCAAGGCCAAGGCATCGAGAGAGAGAGGGGGGAAGGTGAAAGCAGAGACGGAGGATAGGGCCAGCACGCCGCCACGTCAGGAGAGAGGGAGAGGGAGGGACGACGGGGGCGGAGGCGGCGAGAGCGGGAGCGATTACGGCGGGGGTCGCAGCCGCGCCTCATGAGAGAGCCAGAGAGGGAGAGGATGGTAGTTTTTCTTTTTTGCGATGAGGAGGGGGAGAGATGGGAGATATTTTTGTGGTGGGGAATTTTTGGACGACTAGGACGAACAATGGCCATGGAAGGAATTCCAAATGACGTGGCTCACTGGTGAATTTGTAAGGCAATGGTTGGTGATTTAGCCCCTCTACAAATGGATACAGCATTTGTAGGGGCGGATCGTATTATCAACCGCCTATACTGTGTCATTTGTAGGGACGGCTGCTGTGCTGGAGCCCGAACACGCCACTGTAAGGGCGGCTCGAATGCCACCGCCCCTAGAAAAAAAAAAAAGCTCCGCTATAATAAACTGCTTTTTTACGTAGTGTCTCAACGCCCTCTATTTACTCCATGAGTGGTTTTCTCATTTTTTTTTCCTTTCTTTCTTTTTCTCATTTCTTGTTTTTTCTTTTTTCCTTTTTCTTTTTTTTTTTTTTTTTTTGCTTTTCATGTTTTCATATTAATCTAACAATTTTCTTATCTTTAGACTGAGAAGTTATGATCACAAGTTGTCTCCTAAAAAGATATATACATAAGTCATGAGTATAACTTTGTAACTTTCTAAAAAAGAAAAATAAAAAAAAATCTAAAAAAAAGGAAAGTCAAAACAGTTGTGATGAGAAGTTATTGTGATAGGTTGTTCCGTAAAAAGATGCATAAAAGTTGTGAGTATAACTCTGTAACTTATCAAAATTAGAGAATTACAGAAATATTTTTTTTAAAAAAGTCAAAAAAGTTATGATAAGAAGTTGAAGTGATAAGTTGTCACAAAAAAGTTATGAATGCAACAACCCGAGCTCGGTGCTGCCCGTCGTCGCCTCTGATTCCAACTCCTCGCGTTTATCTGGGTGTAGAAGTAGAATCCGTCGACGACCATGCGAATTTTGTTTTCAATTTGCAGGAACCACTCAAATTTGATGATGGGGTTCTTCTCCTTGTTACTGAGGCTGTTAGGCCAAGATTACCGCCAGTTCTTTCGCCAGGAAGTTCTTTCGGTGAGCAGGCGTTCTGGGTTCTTGAGTTTTTCCCCCTCTGCGTTAGGTTCACTTTGGGGATCAGTTCTTGTTCAGATTAGATTAATCCCTGCATTCAGAAGTTCAGCTTTGTTCATTATTCAGCTACCAGAGTTAGTTGTCTGATTGTCTTGGTCTCCTGATGAAACACTAGTGCTCTGCTCCATTAGTCCATTGCAACAGCCTGAAGCGGCCTGCTGGTACGCCGTGCCTAAACCGGTGCATTAGCAAAGAATCCAGTACCGGCGGGCAGACAAACGAGGGCAACTTCAACTGGCTACATGTGCTTCCACATGTGCTTTAGAAAAAATGATATGCTTTGTTTAGCTATAAGTTGGCACTAATATGAAACAAGCTACAGATGAGCAGAGGTAGGTTGGTTGAATGGATTTCATGATCTTTTAACTGAATGTCCTGACCATTGACTAGTTGGTTAGTTGCTACATCCTCTTTTTGGGTTTTCGCATTGAACTTACTTTAGCCATTTAGTTTCAAACATGTATGTTATTTTGTGGTTTCTATATGTGCTTCAGAAAATCATATGCTTTGTTTGGCTTTAAGTTTGGACTAATATGAAACAAGCTACAGATGAGCAGAGGTAGATTGATTGAATGATTTTTTCATGATCTTTAACAGAATGTCTTGACCATTGACTGTCCAATTTAGAAAATTCAGTTGTGACATTGAGAATCACAGCCCAAAAACTTCAATTTTTTCACTTGTCTACCAATCACTACTTGGAACTCGAATACTTCAGTGGGTGACGAATTTTTCTGTGTGTTTTTTTTCAGTACACATAGAAAAATTATAATTTTCTATCGGTTCCAAAATATCAAGACAGAAAAATACGAAAACCCATGTGGTAATTGTATGTTTTTCCGTGTGACAATACACATAGAAAAAGTGCAATTATTCTGTCGGTATTTTTAAAACGCATGTAAAAAAAAAAATGCACACACACAAAAAAAATATTGATTATTCTGTAGGTTTTTATATTACCCAAAGATTAAAATTACATACACACATAAAAATAAGTCACTACTCATATAGATTTAGCTTTGGCGCCATGTTTTCGTGTTGCCGCCTAGCTTTTGGTATTGGCGCCTGTGGCATAGAAAAGGCAAAGTGGAAAAATAAAATAAAAACAAAACCCCTAAACCTAAATGCTCATATCGCGTCGCCAACCCATCGTCGTATCCCATATCGGTATCGCGCCTGCCGCCTCCCCCACACGAGACCGCCCAAGCTCCCCATCGCTCCAGCTCCAGGTCCGCCGCCCCCATCTCCACATTCAGCCCCCACCGCCCATCGCCAGCCACCCTAGCTCCATGGCCGCCGCCCGCTGCCCTTGGTCCGCCACTAGCCACCGCCGATAGATCTACATCCCGACGCACCAAGGAGCTTCACCGCTTGTTCGACATCCTTCTCCGCCACCAACCCGCCACGGCCGAGTGCCCGTCTTGATGGGAACGGGGGATCCCGATCTTCCGTCATGTTCAAGATAACTATCGATTTGGTGGAGAGCGACACACCGATCCGGCTTCAGATCACAAAGACCCAAACCCTGCAACCTTAGCACTATGTCTCCTCTGGTTATCAACCGTGTCACAATCCGGTTGACCTCTCCAAGAAGGCTAATCCCTGCTATGAATCGAAGAACACAAGCAAGAACAAGATAAAATGCACCTCAATTGAAGTGACAATTGCGTATGAATGATTAAGCACTCGGGTTAGGGTCTTGCAAACCGATAACGCAACTGCTCAATGACAGATTGATCTAAAGCAAAATCCAAAACTTAACGTAGGTGGTGGCTACTGATTATATAACCTAAGGGCATCCAAGGACCTCTATTCATGTCCATAAGAAGTTCGACACGTTACAAGGCCCAAACGACCCAAAAAGATGGCGCCAAGGCATCCTCGACAGATTCTAGACGTCAACTTATTTTGACGATTTTCTTTTTCATTCTAAAGGAATTTTGATGTGGGAGCACTTTCCATTGATTAGCTTATCAAAATAGCTTTCCATCCATGTGTGGATCATTAAAAATGGAGTCCGTTTGTGACCTGGGCGTCCGTTTTACTACAGACTGCTCTGGAGCCCGAGATTGACTCGAACTTCGTATGCATTGGGCCTCCAACTTAGCTTGAACGCTCTTGCTTGCCTCCTAAGGTGGTGCCCAAGGAGGAGGACATCCTTGGGCATCTCTGAGGAGTTCTCCATCTCCTTGGGGCGTGGTCCATCTTGGGCCAGGGTCCCAAGGGTGAATATGAGACTCATGACGATGACATAGCTCTCGGCAGAAACAGCGGCAACTTGTCATGATGATTTAGAGGCCTTGCCGACATGATATTGAGATAGGACCAGATCTATTTGAAAGCTTATGAAACAAGATTTCCATCAAGTGCTCATTAACCTCAATCGCACTCGGATGGATTTGAGTTATAGCCTTTCCAATGAAGTATTGTCAGCTACCGCCGAACTGAAAGTTCAACTTTGATGGACTTGCATTTTAATACACATTTCTAGCTGCAAGCAAATAGTGACATGTACATGTGGAATCAAGTGAATTGTAACAAAAATCACTATACAAATGTAGGAACGACCTCACCTTAAAATCAATGGTCATATCCGAAGGTGACATGTCCTCATCATCCTCCCCTTCTTGACAGCAAATCGTCCTCGGTTTGAGCTTAGTTGGAGGACAAGTTGTAGGTAGTAGCCAACACTGCTCCCCTTCTTGAAATTTAACTTGTTTCTGTATAACAAAACTTGGGGATCTCCACATGACATGATTATATCTATTGCAGCCCTCTGATTGATCATATTGTTGTACAACAAAAGGACATTTTAGATTTGAATAAATATAAACTCAATATACCATATACTCTCCTTTATAATTATATTTTTCAATAAAGTGATATGCACCTCTGGATAACCATGGTAATTCAGCACATAAAAATTTCTTCTTCAAATTACTTAACGCACACAGAGTATCGAACTCAATATAACCCAAAGTATCTAAAGAAGAAAACAATTTTTAGTTCATCTTTTTCAGACGCAGTTGGAAGCAAATGTCTATTTTCAGCAGAAGTATTTGGTTCCAAAACAAAAGCATCATTTTCATTCAATAGTTGTGGCACATGTATAATGGAAGCACTATCATGCAACTCTTCTTTATCATAAACACTATCAAAATAATTATTTTGTGACAAAGGTAATTCAGATTTAGTGTCAATTAAGTATTGTTCTATTATAGCATGAGTGGTGGACAAATTCAAAGATAGCATCACTAATTTCAGCAATATCGAGTTTGTTGCAAGCATAAAAGAACTTTTCAATTCGGATACTTGCTTATTTTCATATTTAACATCTAATTCTTTTTGTTCATTAGTAGTTCTATC